AGTCTCAGTACGACACGGTGCTGGAGTCCGTCTTCAAGACGGAGCTGCTGAGCCTGCTCTCCAAGCGCTACGGAGAAAGGACCCAGAAGCAGCTGCCCATCAAGTTCAGCAACCAGTAGGCCTCAGACCCCCCACCCCCCACCCCCCCACCCCTTTCCTGCACTTAGGGACTCCGGGGTAGACTTCTCCTGGGCAGGGAGGGTTTCCAGGCCCCGTTTCTAGCCCTGGTTAAGGAGATGAGAATCGTCGCTGCAAATGTCTCCTTTGGACGACTTCCAAGGAGATGGGAGGGCAGCGCTCGTCTTCGGCCAGCCTCCCCCAAATTAGGGATGGGGCACCACCCGGAGATCCCCAGTCAATACATACCAGGAGGCAGGGGCTGCAAACTGCGTATTAGTCCTGAGGATTTGAACCCAGCGCTAATGGGGCAGCACCCCTATTCCTGCCCCTTGCCTGCATCCCCCCCCCGCCCCAATTCCCTCTCTCTCTGCACATTTCCCCTTCCCCAGGCTGGAGTTCAAGGTGAAGAAAGACGGCTGGGGGCCCTGGGCAGCGGCTGGATCCCGGCAGATCCAGTTCCAGATCTGCCAGGGGGACCTGGCTCTCCTCCGCACCAACGGGAAAGTGCTGGTGGTCAGCATCGGGCCGGGCCTCCCCCGCAATGCCCGTAAGTCAGGGACTGGAGATTTGGGGGGGGGGGGGGGGGGAGACACACTTGAGCCTGCATATGTGGGGGAAGCCCAGCGAGACAGCAACGGAGCGCGCAAGGAGTGCAAAGATGCACGTTTTGCAAAAAAAAATGGGACCTATTTGCAGAATTTTTCAGGAATGATTTGCAGGATTTTTCAAGAATTATTTGCAGGATTTTTCAGGAATGATTTGCAGAATTTTTCAGGGATTATTTGCAGGATTTTTCAGGAATGATTTGCAGGATTTTTCAGGAATGATTTGCACAATTTCCAGGCCCAAACCGGAAGGACACCAGGAAAAGCCGGTACTCCGCGGGAGGCCCTGCCCTTGGCTGGAATGCCCAGACCAGCTCAGGTGAGAGAGAGCTGTGATTTGCAGACTACCCTCAACCCTTGGCCTCCCTTAAGCCAGCATTTCCCAATCCGTATCTCTTGGAGATATAACGGACCCCTAAACGGCGCTCCTGGCACCCAGGAAGAGCCGGGTGGCAGGAGCCAAAAGCTGCCCTCCCCCAAGACCAGCGGACGGGTGGGTGTCCAAGGCGCCTCCAGAACGACCGTCTTAAGACTCTCTTTACGCCCAATTGGGCTGGGCGGAATTGCTGGGCGTTTGGAGCAGAGGCCGGCGGCTGACTTTCCCCTTCTCTGCAGGGTCGGCGTGGGGCAGCCACGGCCGGGGGGCCAGGCTCTCCCTCCAGCAGCGTCACTCCATGACCCGCCAGGGCAGCATGGAGCAGCCCAGCCTGCCACGCCAGGGAGCCAGCCCTCGTGCAAAAGCCTTCCCTGCACCGCTTGACCTGGGCTTCATGGATGTCCCTGACCGAGGGGTGGCTGGGTAAGCGAAATAATAAGAATTATCTTTTATTCTTCTCCTCCAGCTGGCAGCGTTTCTCCACCTGGCCAACTCTAGAGCCCCCTGAGAGCTGGAAATCCACCCATTTTGAGGTTTACTGCCTCAAAACAGCTTCTCTCTGCTCAAGGTTTTTTGCGTGACTCAAGCGGGTAGGGACAGCCCTTGGCCACGCCACTCGGGGCTCTGCACGGCTGCGGGGCAACCGGGAGGCGTCCATGCCCACCCAAATGCCAGGGAGAGCTGAGAACTCTTTTTTTTTTCCAGCCTTCGGCGCCACCTTAGCAAAGAGGCCAAACCCATCCCAGGAGGCGGCCGTGCCAAGCCCAAACCCAAGCCCAAGCCGCAGCCGTGCCTCCCCCGGTGCCGGGCTCTGTATGCCTACGACGCCCAGGACACGGACGAGCTGAGCTTCAACGCGAACGACGTCATTGAGATCATCAAGGAAGGTGAGGGCTTTCCCGGGGGAACCCTGAGGGCATCCATACAGCCGGTTGGTCTGGAAGGAGACCGGAGCCCTGATGGGGAGGGGCTTCGGGGGTGGCCAGGGGGTCTCCACGGAGGAGGAGGCCGGTCCGTCCTAAGCAAGGCTGTCCTCCTCTTTCCAGATCCGTCGGGATGGTGGGAGGGCCGCATTCGTGGCAAGGAAGGGTTGTTCCCGGGGAACTACGTGGAGAAGAACTGAGGAGGGGCTGGCACTGCCCCTCTCCTGCAATGGCACCAGTGGCTGCCCCGCTGGGAAAGACCTGGAGACCGGGACGCTACTGGAGGGCAGCCGATACTCGCAAGAGAGCACGGAAAGGGGCCTCGCTGGCCTGCAGAAATTTGGTGCCTCTTGGTGCCCTCTGAACGCGGCCAAGAAAACCAGGCAGGAATGTTTAACTGCAGGTGCGAACGTCCCTCTTGCTGCCCTAAAAGCCACACCAGGAGGTGCCAGCCTGGTGGACCTTTAAGGCCGGGGGTGGGGTGGGGGAATAGGTAGCCGGGAAAGAGAGAACTCCAAATGTTTTAAAGACAGGGAAAAAAATAATGGACTTTTTAAAAGGAATTTTTAAAAGCTTCCAGCCCGCGTGGAAAGCCTCAGACGTCTGCCTTGGGTTGTCAAACGGGCCCCGCTGGGAGGGCCTGCGGGCTCTGCCCGCTTGCTGCCAACCTGTGTGAATCCAGCCTCCCGAAAGAAAAGCCCCTCTGGGGAAGGAATCCTAAAATTGACGGGCGGCACAGGAGAAAACGAGAGGAAAAAAAAAAACGAGTGAAATAAATTATGTACATTGAGGCCCTTTCTGAAAATGGATTTTATTTGCTGCCGCATGTTTGTTTTTTTTTCCTTTTCTTTTTCTAAAAAAACCAAAACAACCCCCCCCCCCCCCCCCCCCCGTTCCCTGGGAGGGGGATTCCAGGGTCAACCGGGGTTTCTCTGACAGACCAGGATCAAGGAAGCGGGCTGGCTGAGCCCGAGAGATTTACTGGCCCAAACCTGGACCTCTGACACGCCAAAGGATCCGCGAGGGGCTCAGACGGTGCGCCGCGAAGGCACCGTGTTTGGCCCTGGGGAAAAGGGGGGGGCCACGGTGCCAAGGGGAGTCCACGAGGGAGTGAAAGCTGCGGGGGGGGGCCCAAACCCCCCCCAAGGGGGCCGGAAGACCCCCGACCTCTGGCCTGCCAGAGCTGCTGAGCCCCCCCCCCCCCAAACCAAGGAAAGGTATTTTGCACAATTCCCTCCACTCAGGAGCCGCCCTGGTTTAACATGGACCCCCTGAGCAAATGATCACAAAAACCTTAATTTTACACGCCCCCCCCCATGCCCCCCCTTTTTAAACCAAGCAGCCGAGGGTCCCTCTGCTCTTTCGGGAAATAATCAGTTAGCACCAGTCACTCAACCTCTTTTTGCTTTCAATCGTTTTGTTTTTTTCAGTATATGTTACACGGATGGTTCAAAGGACACGCACTTCCGTTAGTCTGCATTAGTGACAACTCAAAAATAATCATAATAATAGACCAAACCAAACCCGGGAACTAAAATAAAACACCAGTCGAGAGAGAGAGAGAGAGGGAGACAGAGAGAGAGACAGAGAGAGAGAGAGAGAGAGGGGGGGGGGAGAGAGACAGCCCCTTCCCCAAGAGGAAGCAAACGCCCGAAGACGCCAAAACAAGGAGAGTCACTTCCTAGATTGCAGGCCTGAAGCACAGAAACGCGCCTCTCTTGAACCCGGGGCCACAGTCTCAAGGGTTCGGAGCAGAACGCCGTGCGGGACTTCAAGCGTTTCCCGAAGGGGAGGATCTGGCAGCTCCCGGATGGGAACGTGGCTTCGGATCCCGGTTAAATCGGGAGAGGAATGCTGGGGGGGGGGGGGGGGGCGGGGAATTGGGGGGGTCCTGGGGGGGTGGAGGGAACCGGGGCCAGAAACAACATGATTATCATCCTGATCCCGACGGGGACGCCCCAACGGGGACCCACCACGAGGCCCATTTGGAAAGACCGACTTGGGTCCGGCCAGGGGGGAAGCCCCTCGCCCAGAACCCCCCCCCACATTTGGGTTTTACACGCAACGCGTTTCTGGCTTGTAAAATCAGGGGCCCCCCCGTTCCCCCCCCCCCCCAAAGCACCAGCTGCTCTTGAGGTATTTTGGACTCCGGAGAAGGAAGGGAGGGCGAAGACCCCCTCCCCCCACTCCAATGCTGCGGGGGGGAGGGGCACCATGCCAAGGGGGGAGAAACGGGGTGGGAGGGGCGCAAATCCCGAGGCCTGGAATGGTTTGGAAAAAGAGATTTAAAAAAGACAAAAAGAGATTTTTCTTGGTTTGAAGCCAGCCATCCGTACGGTCAGCAAAGGAGGCGCCAAGCCACCTAGGAGTGAACCAAGCCATCATCTGGACTATGGGGGGGGGGGGGGGGGGGGGGCGCCTTCTTCCCCCCCGGGGTGGGGGGGGAGCGCATGAGAGGGGGGGGGGGGGGAGCCCCCTAATTCCTGGGAACTTCGGACAGGAAGACCTGGAGTGGTGACGGACAAAAAACCAGCGCGACCGGCCTTTCACGACGG